TTTCAACAGTGCATACCTACAATCCCACAAAGGATCCAAATCCCGACAACAACAAGAACAACAAAAAATACTCATAATCTTAATATCAATCTCCAGCTCACTGATGGCTACTAGATCGATATCATGGGGCTGCATAATACTGAGAAGTTGTGACCACGGGAGGGGGGAGGTTTACCATGTCATGATGAAGGGCAATGGTCATCGAACTGAGAAGCAATTGAATTCCATCCCCCCAAGGGATTGAATGGTTAACAATCTTGGTCTTATAACCTGAAGATCCTAGTTTGGATCCCTTGTGGTAGGCTTGTAGATGCACACTGCTGAATTGCGCTGAATGTCCTGAGCTGACCAGATGTTCTGTCACTGAACTATATACATGTTTTCGTTCTCCTTTTACTAGCCAGGCTCGAAAAATCCTTCAAAATCATATACAAGATTCGATCAAAGCTATCAAAGGGAGTAAAATTAATACATCTGGGCATAGCCAAGCCACTAGCCATCCAAAAGCTCAAACCCATGCTATGTATCCAAAAGAAATACGTCCAACTCTTGTTCCTGCCATGGCCATCATAAACAGGTAATTCTTTTAATAGTGACTATCCCATCGCCTTTCTTATCCAAACTTCCTGTTTATTCATGTTATTTTTAAGTTTTTCTTAATCCCTCCTAATTACACTACCATATTTTCATATCTGAACTTCCTGTCTGTTTTGTCATTTTATTATTGCTACATATTTAATCCCTAATTACATAAACAATTATCCGTCATATTAGTTATGATCCCACTAGATTTTTTATCCAAACATCCTGTTTATTTTTGTTATTTCTACATTTCTAACCCCCAATTGCACAATATGTCAATCTTCTCAGTAATTATGATGGTACTTTGTTTGAGTTTTATCCGCTCCCCCTCCTGTTCATTATGGCATTTTAGTTCCTAATTGTAATTTTATTAATTTGACCCTAGAACGGAAATTATTCTGGAACTAATAAGACAGTTGCAGTGAAGAAAATTTTCTTTTCGACGAATTCGTCATCTAGGCTGTACATTCGTGTGACTTCGTCG